GAAGGATCGCCGGAGCCCAGCAGGTCGAGGCTGCGGTGGCCGGGAGTGGCCGCTGCACCCCAGTCTGGGCGACAGAGTGAGACTCCGACTCAAAAAAATAATAAAAAATAAAAAATAAAATGTCCATCTGCAGGATAATGCCCCATCTATGCTAACAAATACTACGGATCGCTTAAAAAGGCTGGTGCACACCTACAGAACTGCAGGACGTTCCATGGAGTGAAAAAGATGTGAATTGGAAAAACAAACGGAACATCAACCAATACCATCTGTTTTCTAAGGGTGCCTGTCTATGTATAAAGTCAGCTAGGGACAGTAATGCAGATACCTGCTTTTTCAGTCATTCCACAAATACATATTTATGTGATTTGTGTTCATATCTTTCTTCTGGCCGGGCGCAGTGGCTCAAGTCTGTGATCCCAGCACTTTGGGAGGCTGAGGCGAGAGGATTGCCTGAGCTCAGGGGTTCGAGACCAGCCTGAGCAAAATAGCGAGACCTTGTCTCTCTACAATAAATCAAAAAATTAGCCAGGCATGGTGACGCATGCCTGTAGTTCCAGCTGTCTGGAAGGCTGAGGCGAAAGGATTAGCTGAGCCCAGCAGGTCAAGGCTGTGGTGGCCGTAAGCAGCATGCCACTGCACTCCAGCCTGGGTGACAGAGTGAGACTCTGACTAAAAAAAAAAAATCTTTCGACCGGGCTCGGTGGCTCAGCCTGTAATCCCAGCACTTTGGGAGGCCGAGGTGAGTGATTGCCTGAGCCCGCAGGTTCGAGATCTGCCCAGGCAACTTGGCAAGACCATCTCTACAATAAATCAAAAAATTAGCCGGGCGTGGTGGCGTGTGCCTGTAGTTCCGGCTACTTGGAAGGCTGAGGCGGAAGGATCGCCGGAGCCCAGCAGGTCGAGGCTGCGGTGGCCGGGAGCGTGCCACAGAACTCCTGCCTGGGCGACAGAGTGAGACTCCAACTCAAAAAAAAAAAAATCTTTCTTCTCCAGAAGTCGGTGAACTCCATGAGGACAGAACTAAATCTGTTTTGTTCATAGTTATACCACCACTGCCTGCCAGGCATGCACTACCCAGCACAAACAGAATTTGCTTCTGACCTGAACTTTCCCTGCCTCCATGGTGCCAGGTGTGATGTTAGATTTAAAGGGCATAACGGTAAGGGAGGCAGATACAGCCCTGCCCTCAAGGAGTACCCTGTCTCCTTATCCAAAAGAGAATATTCTGACTGGACATGGGTGGCTCGCACCTGTAACCCAAGCACTTTGCGAGGAGGGAGGATCACCTGAGTCCAGGAACTCAGGACCAGCCTGAGCAACATAGCAAAGCCTTGTTTCTACGAAATCAAAAAATTAGCCGGGAGTGATGGCATACCTCTGCAGTCCCAGCTACCCTGAGGTGAGAGGCTCGTCTGAGCCTGGGAGCAATCCTCCCACCTCAGCCTCCAAAAGTGCTGGGATTACAGGTGTGAGCCACTATGCCCAGCCTACATTTTTCTCAATTGAATGAAATGTTACAATTTTGCTAATTACTGGCTCTTATTTTCTGATATTGATTTCTTTCCAGGATCCTCTTTTGGTCTAAAAGCAACATTGTTTTTCTTTATTTTTAAGACAAGGTCTCACTATGTTGCCCAGGCTGTTCTTGAACTTCTGACCTCAAGCAGTCCTCTCAGCTCTGCCTCCCAAAGCGTCAGGATTATAGGCGTGAGCCACCATGCCTAGCCAAAAGCATCATTTTAATTGTGTTGTCAGTTTATCTTCACTGGTATGACATGGAGTCGGATTGCATGTGGCATCCTCTCTCTAAGCTTCAGTTTCCCTTCCTATAAAATGGAGGGAATAATGGTATCTTCTTTATAAGGGAATTTTACATACTGAACGTGGGAGGTAGCACACCTGCCACACACATTATCCATGGTGAGGAGATTTTTGTTTTTTGGGGGGGGTGGGAGGTGAAGTCTCACTCTTGTTGCCCAGGCTGGAGTGCAGCAGCACGCTCATGGCCACCGCAGCCTCGACCTGCTGGGCTTAGGTGATCCTTCCGCCTCAGCCTTCCAAGTAGCTGGAACTACAGACACATGCCACCATGCCTGGTTAGTTTTTTTGTGTGTGTGATTTATTGTAGAGACGAGGTCTCACCAAGTTGTCCAGGCTGGTCTCGAACCCCCGGGCTCAGGCAGTCCTCTCGCCTCTGCCTCCCAAAGTGCTGGGATGATAGACTGAGCCACCTCTCTGACCGGTCAGGCTTTTTGTTGTACCACGTGGATGTGCTGGGTGCCACAGATCCATCCGGCTCCCAACACTCAGATTTCATTCTGACCTCATGGCCAGAGGTAGGGCTGGGGAGGTTTGTAACCGAATGCTGGTGCCAGAGGCGTCTCCACAATAAGGAAGAATGGCTCCCTTCCGCCTTTCCCCTAAATATAAACCCAACTGCCAACCGCCCCAGTCTCACACCTGCAGCGGGAGCCAGGCGGGTCCAAAGGTAACCGCGCAGCTCAGGGCTGTCATTAGTGCCCTCCGCCCAGCCCTTGTGCAGCTGGTGGTGGGCAACTCAGCGTCTCTCCTGGATGGTTCTTAATTGCACCTGAAAGCAGCAGTCTGGAGGTTGGAGCTCCTGGCTTGGACCACACCAGTTCCCTAAAATACTGGGTTTCAGAAGACTGTGCTGGAGCAAACGTGTCATTCCTGCCCACTCCCTGGAAGCAAGCAAGGGAGAGCCACGCCCGGGTTGTCTCTGTTGCCTAGCAACACGATTCCCAGGCAGCAAGGCCAAGCCGACTCCGGAGCCAGAAAGGCATGAGTTCAGATCCCGGCTCGGACGCTTTCCATCTGCGTGGCCTTGGACAAGCTTTCTAACCTCTCTGGGCCTACCTCAGTTTTCTCTTCAGTACAATGGGATTAATAGTACCCCCGAGGACAGATCATCCATGATGCCAAGTGCAGAGGGAGCCTTCAACACAAGCTAGCTGTGATGCTCCCCACTGGGTCCCAGGGCTTGCAGCAATTTCTTTTCCTTTGGGTCGGTGCCCAGTCGTGGGATTGCTCGGTAGAATCCTGTCTGGCTGAGACGCAGAGGCAGCCTCCAACCAGCAGGGAGCGTGGTGAGACTTGAGGTCATTCTGCTCCGAAAGGGCCACCAGAGGCAAGGGGGGCTGGTGCCGCGGGAATCATGCAAGATTGCAACCAAGTATGAAAGTAAAAAGAAGTTTATTATTCACCTTTCAGAGGTTGGAAAGGGGGCCAACACACAGAGACCAGCGTGGCCTCGAGTGGCCAAGGGTTAGGTATATTTAAGAGCCTTTGGTGAAGGGGGCCTTGGGCCCGAAGGAGTGTTCAGGACTGCGGGTCTTTGATGTTGATCGTAGTCACATGAGTCTTAGATTCTGAGGTCGCCAGGCATTAGCATCTGTGTCCTTGAGGTGGTGGGCTGGGGTAGTCACGGGTGATAACAATAAGAACCTAGCCGGGCTCGGTGGCTCAGTCTGTAATCCCAGCACTTTGGGAGGCTGAGGTGAGTGGATTGCCTGAGACCGCGGGTTCAAGACCCGCCCAGGCAACTTGGCGAGACCTCATCTCTATAATAAATTAAAAATTAGCCGGGCGTGGTAGCACGCACCTGTAGTTCCAGCTACTTGGAAGGGAGCGGAAGGATCACCGGAACCCAGCAGGTCGAGGTTGCAGTGGCCGGGAGCGGCCACTGCACTCTAGTCTGGGCGACAGAGTGAGACTCCAACTCAAAAAAAAAAAAGAAAAAAGAAAAGAAATGAACATGTGCTTGGCAACATGGATGGTGCTGGAGGCCATTATCCTAAGTGAAATAACTTAAAAACAGAAAGTCAAATGCCACGTGTTCTCACCTGTAAGTGGAGCTAAACACTGGATACTCAAAGATGGAAATGGTAGATATTGGGGACTCCAGGAGGCCTAGAGGTAGAGAGGTAGGTAGGACTGAAAAACGCCTGTTGGGCAC